CGTCCTATTAGGCATTGCAGAGCCCTGGTGGCACAGTGGTTAAGAGCGCAGCTGCTAACCAGAAGGTCGGCAGTTCAAATCCACCAGCCACTCCTTGGAAATCCTATGGGACAGTTGTACTCTGTCATGTAGGGTCGCTATGAGTCGGAATTGACTCAACAGCAACGGGTTTGGTTTTTTGTTTTTTATTAGGCATTGATTGCCCTCTAAAATAGAGCAGTCTCATCGGCGTTCGCAATGTCTTTAGGATCATATCCCTTTATGATCTCTTTTAATTTTGTGAACCGGTTTTGAACGTCTTTGTCTACCTCGTTTGACACCCCACAAGCTACATTGCAAGTGATTCCAGGTTGTTGTTTTAAAGCTTGGAAGCCACCCGTTAGATGCTGAGAATCCATCAACTTTTAAAGTTTTGCCATTTCCTTCACCTTTGCTTGCAGGATAGGTCCTGAAATGGGAACATTTTTGGTGGAGGCTTGAGGAAACCACTCAAAAACAGATTTTTGGATTTCTACATAACTTACATCCCTTTCTTTCTTGACGTTTACATTGGTGCTGCTCAAGTATTTTTCAATTTTTTTATCCTTTTCTTTCACAATTGAGTAAATTTGCGTTTTGCCACACTTGAACTTAATTACAGCTTCCTTGACGGTCTTTTTCTCTTTGGTTATCATTTTGATAACATCTCACTTTTCTTTCAGAGATAAATTTCTCTTTTGTCCATGGCATTGAAGGAATAAGCTTTTTTAAAAAAGGAAATAAGTTCTTATAAAAATTAAGGAATTTATGATCTGCTCGAAAACGTGACTGTCTTAACAAAAAGAAAAAAAAATGAAACTATCAACATGTGATTAAGTTAGCACACTTCAGTAAAATATTCAAGAAAAAACACGTGAGAAGAATGTTTTTGCTTTTGTACACACATTGAACGTGTTAAGTGAGGAAATAAATGCTTCTCTAATTTTTAGGCAAAACAAGAAATTTTGAAGGAAAGAATTTCAAGGAAATGAAGGAGTAGTTTTTGAAAATTATAATAACGTGTATCAAAATTACAAATAGCTAAAGCAAAAAGTAAAAATTATAAGGAGAAGAGTAAAACCTCTCAAGACAAGGAGAAAAAGTGTGCTTTGCTAGATTTTAATGAAAACGAATTTATTAGTATCTCTTACCCTCTTGCAAACTTACGCATGTTGTTCTTTGCTAGAAAATATTTACAGGCCAAAAAAAAAGAATAAAAAAAAAGTGTAAAGAATAGATGTACTCAGAGAACAGTAGCGATGTACAGTACACACTCATACACAGTAACAATGCAAAAGGAAGTTGAAGACTGAGCCTTCATCTCTGACTCTTGTACTTCTTGGAACTGTTTCCAGCCTGTGCATCTGCACTTCCTCTGACTCCTCAGGTTATAATACCAACGATTTTCTGATTTCCTCTGTGTCTTGCAGGTTCTGGATTTCAGAGAATATTTATTAGGCTGAAGTAATAGTTTTAGTGGAAAATATTTTAGTTTTCCTTCTCTGAGAGGTTTCCACCTTACACAGGTTCCGGCTTTCACAGGTTTTACTGTACATGGTTTCTTTACTATAAAACTTTAAATGAATTAATATGCATTATAATCCTCCAAGAGGATGATATATAGAATGCAGTATTTCCAAAACTTATTTGACCAAAGAACCTTATTTTTATAGACCATCTGTTAATATTTCTCATGGCACTAATGTTCTGTGGAACGGCATTTAGGAAATGCTTAGGTAGCCGCATCCTACATTTCCGGTCCTATTTCCCATTAACTCCCCTACATAAATCCTCAACTTAGGCCAAACAGTTTTTAGTCTCCCTGAGATATACTTGGTCAAGTACAATCTAAGTCTTCATTCTGGAGTGCCCATCTGGAATACCCTTCTTTATCTCTGTATATCTGTATATTTTTATTGAGATTTATTAGTCTTATATCATAAAATTCACCATTTTAAAGTATACAATTCAGTGGTTTTTAGAATATTCACAAAATTGTGCAACCATCACCATTATCTAATTCCAAAACATTTTCATCACCCTAAAAAGAAACCCCGTTCCCATTAAGCAATCACTCCCCATTCCCCTCTCCCCCAGCCCCTGATATTAATGATATTGTTCTATAATTTCCACATTCTGGTTGGTCACCTTTCTTTGGAATGGATACAAATATGGACCTCTTCTAGTCAGTTGCCCAGGTAGCTGTCTTACAAATTTTTGGCATAGATGAGTGAGCACTTCCTGTGCTGCATCTGTTTGTTGAAACATCTCAATTGGTATTCCGTCAGTTCCTGGAGCCTTGTTTTTCAGCAATGCCTTCAGTGGCGCTTGGACTTCTGCCTTCAGTGCCATCAGTTCTTGATCATATGCTACCTCCTGAAATGGCTGAATGTCGACCAATTTTTTTTGGTACAGTGACTCTGTGTATTCCTTCCATCTTCTTTTGATGCGTCCTGCATCGTTTAGTATTTTCCCTGTAGAATCCTTCAGTACTGCAACTTGAGGTTTGAATTTTTTCTTCAATTCTTTCAGCTTGAGGAATACTGAGCATGTTTTTCCCTTTTGGTTTTCTAACTCCAGATCTTTGCACATTTCATTATAATACTTTACTTTGTCTTCTCAAGCTGACCTTTGAAATCTTCTGTTCAGCTCTTTTACTTCATCATTTCTTCCTTTTGCTTTAGCTACTCGATGTTCAAGAGCAAGTTTCAGCATCTCTTCTGACATCCATTTTGGTCTTTTCTTTCTTTCCTGCCTTTTTAATGACCTCTTGCTTTCTTCGTGTGTGATGTCCTTGATGTCATTGCACAACTCGTCTGGTCTTCAGTCATTAGTGTGTCAAATCTATTCTTGAGATGGTCTCTAAATTCAGGTGGGATATACTCAAGGTCCTACTTTGGCTCTCATGGACTTGTTCTAATTTTCTTCAGCTTCAACTTGAATTTACATATGAGCAATTGATGGTCTGTTCCACAGTCGGCCCCTGACCTTGTTCTGACTGATGATATTGAGCTTTTCTATCATCTCTTTCCACAGAAGTAATTGATTTGATTCCTGTGTATTCCATCTGGTAAGGTCCATGTGTGTAGTCACCATTTATGTTGTTGAAAAAAGGCATTCGCAATGAAGAAGTCATTGGTCTTGCAAAATTCTGTCATGCGATCTCCAGCATCGTTTCTATCGCCAAGGCCATATTTTCCAACTACCAGCCCTTCTTATTTTTTTCCAACTTTCACATTCCAATCGCCAGTAATTATCAGTGCATCTTGATTGCATGTTTGATCAATTTCAGACTGCAGAAGTTGGTAAAAGTCTTCAATTTCTTCATCTTTGGCCTTAGTGATTGGTGCACAAATTTGAATAATAGCTGTATTAACTGGTCTTCCTTGTAGGCATATGGATATTATCCTGTCACTGACAGCATTGTACTTCAAGATAGATCTTGAAATGTTCTTTTTAAGTCTGAATGCGACATTATTCCTCTTCAATTTGTCATTCCCAGCATAGCAGACCATATGATTGTCCGATTCAAAATGGCCAATACCAGTCCATTTCACCTCACTAATGCCTAGGATATTGATGTGTATGTGTTCCATTTCATTTTTGAAGATTTCCAATTTTCCTAGATTCATACTTTTTACATTCCACATTCCGATTATTACTGGATGTTGGCAGATGTTTCTTCTCATTTTGAGTTATGCCACATCAGCAAATGAAGGTCCCAAAAGCTTGACTCCATCTACGTCATTAAGGTCAGCTCTACTTTGAGGAGACAGCTCTTCCCCAGCTGTATTTTGAGTGCCTTCCAACCTGAGGGGTTCATCTTCCAACACTATATCAGACAGTGTTCTGCTGCTGTTTATAAGGTTTTCACTGGCTAATTTTTTTCAGAAGTAGGCAGCCAGGTCCTTCCTGGTCTGTCTTAGTCTGGAAGCTCAGCTGAAACCTGTCCACCATGGGTGACCCTGCTGGCTTTTGAATACTGGTGGCATAGCTTACAGCATCACAGCAACACGCGAGCCCCCAAAGTGTGACAAACTGATAGACGCGTGTTCACAGCCAGATAGATATTATCAACAACAACAAAAACAGTGGCCATTGAGTCGATTCCAACTCATGGCAACCCTATGTATTTCAGAGTAGAGCATTCCATAGGGTTTTAATGGCTGTGACCTTTTAGAAGTAGATCACCAGGCCTTTCTTCTAGGGCACCTCTGGGTGGATTCAAATTGCCAGCCTTTTGGATAGTAGCCAAGCACTTAACATTTGCATCACCCTGGGACTCAGATATTGTCAACACTAAAGATTAATATAATTTCTATTTCCAGACACTGATTAAGGTCAAAGAAATAAACAGATTCGATAAAGCTGCTTCTTGACAACCTTCTCTGAAAATTCAAAAAAAAACCCAAACCTACTGTAGTCGAGTCAATTCCAACACACAGCGACCCCATAGAGTTTCCAAGGCTGTAAATCTCTATGGAAGCAGACTGCCACATCTTTCTCCTGCAGAGTCACTGCTTGTTTTCAGCTACTGACCTTTCGGTTAGCAGTTGATTGCTTTAACCACTGTGCCACCAGCGCTCTGAAAATTAGTCAATATAACTGAGAGAATTGACTGAGGACAGCATCAAGGGAAGCCCCAAACAGAATACAGGTTTTTCTCCTGCATCAGGGAGACCAGGAATCTATGTCTCTCTAATTCTTCCCCCGTCAGTCCAAGAGGGCCTCAGTGCTTTTTCAGTTTATATGTGACTTCATGAGGTCTTGCTGTGGGGCATCCCACAGCTGACACACCTTCAAGGTGGTCTTCTCCTGCTCTACAGAAGCATGGGCTTACTAGTGAAGTCTGTGGCTCCCTCCTTAGTGTTGGCAGAGCGCCCATTGTTTGTTTAGTAATAATGGGATGCAGCACTGATACAGTTAGTGCTACAATGAATTGAGACAGTAATAACTGTAAACCACCTATTCTTGGATTTCAGGCAAGCTACCCAGAAATGGAAATTCTCTGGCTGATGATCAAGTCCTGGAATACTGGAATATTTATGTATGGCAGGGGCAAGTATGTATCTGCTGAAAAATGGTGTGGCCTGGCATTTCGTTTCCTTGACCACCTTGGCTCCCTCAAGAGAAGCTATGAAACTCAGGTGAGGGGTGAAAAGGCTAAGGATGGGTGGCATGACTTAGGGGACAGATAGGTTATAGTCGGGTTCTCAATAAGAACTCAACCTTACCTTCCTTTACTAGGAAAGGATCTTGATCATTACTCCTCTCAGTGGCTCCATATAACTCCAAGAGTTAGGGGACTGCAAACAGTAATTTCTTTGAGTGGAAACCAGAAAGGATGGCGAACAGAGGGAAACTGAGGGATAGCAGATGAAATCTAATTAAGAAGAATGCCAGCAGTGAGCTCTGGAAAGATGTATCATTGTCAGTGCCAGTACATGTAGAGAAAGACTGGCCTTTGCTCAAAGTAATGACTGTTTAAAAAGGCATTTTCTCTAGAGGAACTATTCTGAGCTGCAGACTTCTTTGCCATTAACTCACCAGGAGAGAGGGTTGGTGGGGAAAAAAGCCTTGTTACCAAAGTAGAGTAAAGAATCTTTTTTAGGTTTTCAAGTAAACAGACCTAGTACATTCAGATCCTTCTTCTCCAAGATGGTACTGTATTTTCTCCCCAAAGTAACTCCTCAGATCTCAGAAGGTAAAGGTTAGACTCTAGTGCCATCACCCTGGGTCTGGGAAACTTTCCCACTTTTCCTTTTCCTCTCAGGAAATCTATTTGCTATTCTCTTTCCTAGATGAATGTTCTGTACAGTGAGTTGATGGAAGCAGTTGATAAAAACAAGGGCTCACGTTTTAATGAAGAGTGAGAAATACTGGGACAAGGCATATGAGGAGGCACGCTCACAGCAACAATCAGGAATATGTATTGTGAGATCCTGAATATTTAAATTTTTGCCAAACTTTTTCTTGAGCTTTTGTTTCTGTTTTCTCAGGCCCTGTTTTCGTGTTGTTGAATAAAAAATTTAAAAATAAAAACATTTTAACGTTTACCTCAGTGACCAGCTCATTTCTGGGGGGCAAATGAATTTTTCAAGGTGCTGTGGATTATATTGAAACAGCCCATGTGAGAGCAAGATGGTTTATGTCCCATGTGAAAAACAGGAATGTTTATCCCGGTCCAACACAGGTTGCATCTTTTTTTTTTTTTATTGTTGTAGTTTAGATGAAGTTTACATTTCAAGTTAGTCTCTCATACAAAAATTTACACATACATTGTTATGCAACTCTAACTGCTCTCCCCGTACTGTGACAGCACACTCCTCCTTTCTACCCCTGATTCCCCATGTCCATTCAGCCAGCTCCTAACCGTCTCTGCCTTCCCATCTCACCTCTGGACAGAAGCTGCCCCTTTAGTCTCTTGTATCTACTTGAGCTAAGAGGCACACTCCTCACGAGTATCGCTTCATGTCCCACAGTCCAGTCCAATCCCTGGCTGAAGAGTTGGCCTTGGAAATTGTTTTAGTTCTGGGCTGATAGAGAATCCAGGGGCCATGCTTTCCGCGGTTCCTCCAGTCTCAGTCAGACCATTAAGTCTGGACTTCTTACTAGAATTTGAGTTCTGCACCCAACCTTTCTCCTGCTCCATCAGGGACTCTCTGTTGTGTTCCCTGTCAGGATGGTCATTGGTGGTAGCTGGGCACCATCTAGTTCTTCTGGTCTCAGGCTGATGCAGTCTCTGGCTTATGTGGCCCTTTCTCTCTCTCGGGCTAATATTTTCCTTGTGTCTTCGGTGTTCTTCTTTCTCCTTTACTCTAGGTGGTTGGGACCAATTGCTGCATCTTAGATGGCTGCTTGCAAGCTTTTAAGACCCCAGACGCCACTCACAAAGGTTGCATCTTATTCCAGAAGTGCTTGAATTTCCAATACCTGAAGATAACGGAGAATCATAAAATCTTCACTGGAAGAACCTTAATGGTCATTGGTTCCAGCATTTAACTGATTCATGAAGTCTTTCTGTGACATCCTTAAGAATTGGTTGTCCAGTTTCAATTAGAACATATCCTATGACAAGGAACTCCTGAGACAGCTCAATCCACCTTGTTGCTCTCTAATTGGTAGAAAGGCCTTCTTTATACTGAATATAAATCTGTCTTCTATTAACAAGTCTGCTTTCTATGTCCTAGACAGCCCTTTGGAGAGCTTTTTCTTTTTCAGGTTAAATATCCTCAGAACCTTCAGCTGTTCCTCATATGATCCAGTCACTTTATCTTCCAAGAGCCAAATCCCATGTTCCAGTGAGGTCTGACCAATGCAGAGTTCAGCATCCTCATTCTGGCTAGACTGCCACTGGTGTACCATAAGATCACATTGACTGTTTTCTCTCAGTTGATTTGCATTAAGATTTTTTAACGTTTGAGTGTGAAATAGTTGTATACTTAAGTTGCAAGTAAACACAAAGAATCGTTGTACACCCTTTATCCAACTTCTGTATTTGTTAACATTTGACCACATTTTCCTTTCTTTCTGAACCATCTGAGATTAATTGGCAGACATCTTGCCCCATTATCCCTAAATATCTCAGTGTGTATTTCGTAAAAGTAAGGGCACTCTCCTACATAACCACAATACTGCCATCAAAATTAGGAAATTAACATTGATACAGTTCTGCCATCTAAACTACAGAGCCCATTTCAAATTTTACTGTCCTAACAAAGTCCTTTGTAAGTTCAGAGTCATAAGTTGCATTTAGTAGTCATGTCTTTATCTCCTATAGCCTTTTCTTATCTTTCATGACCTTGACATTTTTTGAAGAGTAAAGGCTAATTACTTTGTAGCATGAACCTCAATTCCAGTTTGTCTGATGTTTCCTAATGATTAGATTCAGATTATACATTTTTGGCAGAATAGCACAGAAGTGATGTGTTCTCAGTGCATCATACCAGATTTGTCCTGTTGCTGCTGATATCAACTTAATTAAGATGGTTTCTACCAGGTTTCTCTACTGTAAGTCTAATTGATAAATAGTTTGTACTTAGTAATTAATAATTATGAAGTACTTTGTGGAAGATACTTTGAGACTAAGTAAATATCCTGTTCCTTATTAAACTTTCATCCACTAGTTTTGGCATCCATTGATTCTTATCTGAATCAGTTTTTACTCTGATGGTTGCTAAATGGTGATGTTTCAATTTCTATCATTCCTTTCTTCATTTATTAGTTGGCATTGGTAAGGTAGAGCTTTTCCTTCTCCCCTACTTACTTATTTATTCATGTTTTTAAAAATGTTTTTAGTACAGACTAATGGATTCCTATTTTATTCAATGGGTTTTAATCCACTTACTATCATTATTCATTTTGATGCTTAAAGCTGGTTCCTATGTTTTTTAACATGTCTCCATCATTCTTTGAACACTTCCATATTTTCTGGCACAATAAGATGTTCAAGGTTCATCTTGTTCTTTCCTTGCCCCAACCCTGGAGTCAGATATTTCTCCAAGGAGCTCTGGTTCTTTTTAATGGAGAATGGGAGTTAGTGCCCAAGATCTAGGTGTAGGTGTGCTCATTGTTACTGGTGTGCCATACTTTCTAGGTCCTCTCAGTGGAAATAAAAAAAAGCTAGGAAATAAATTGTGTATATACACACACACAAATATTCATATATGTGTGTATAAATTTATATATGCCTCTATCAATACATTTATATATAAATATATGTGTGTATCTATATCTATCAATCTATATAAAACCATGAGTTCACACAAATACCTCAATCATCAGTCCAACACCAGAATATTTATTCTTGCCTTCCTCCTTTCCATATTTGTAACTCTCTTCTGACATTCAGAAACGTGGCTCCAATTAACCTCATATATTCACTTATTTGTTTAATCTCTTTGTATGAAATCAATCTCCCAGCCATGTGGCTGTCTCCTAACCCCACCTTCCTGACCATGCTGGCTACCCCTTTTAGCCCAAGCCCCGGCGAACACTCCGGCCAGATCGTCTGCTGAACCTCAAGCTGAGTTCCTAGCTGAGCCCCCACCTCAGCCCTGGCCCTAGCCCCAGTTCCTACCAAGGGAAAGTGAAAGGGGCCACAGTAGTGTTTAAGCAGGCACTTCATATTGTTGACTCACTGGACTTGGTACTCTCCCCTGCACCTTAGTTTATTCCAACTTATCTTTGAGAACTCAGCTCAAATGTCAGTTCCTCAGAGAAACCACCCCTGAATAGATCAGATTCTCTTGTTATATGCTCAGTTCTATTCTCAGTTTGTAAATATATATTTATTTGTGCAATAATTTGATTAATGTCTATCTCCCCCAATAGCCTTTAAGCTCCAAGAGGGCAGACACTATGTTTTCCTCACTATTGTATATCCCCAGTGGTTAGCACAGTGCCTGCATTTTCAATAAATATTTGTTGTAAGAATGAATGAAAACTTCTAAGTCTTTTTTCCACATATTAAATAATGTCTCAGCTTGTACCTCCAGTTTTTTCTTTAATCTAAGTGCATTTATCACTATTAAATTGCTCTTGCCAGTTAATTTTTTTTTCTTAGACCCCTCCAGACAGCTAATCTTTTTGGATTTGGATACAGAGTTTATTCTTTATTATGTTAGTTATTCCTTCTCAGGCTCATATTTTCTGCATATTTGGTCATCATGCCATCTAATGTCTTTATCCAAATAAATGATAAAATATACTAAATAGGAGAGGTCTGAAATACAGCTTGGTGACATGCTTTTCTGTCCATCCTCTAGGTCCATTTATTCATGCAGCAAATATTTTCTGAACACTTCTGCTATGTATCAGGCACTATTATGGGCACTGGGGGGAAAGTAGTGAACAAGACAGACAAAGTCTCTCCTTCAAGGAGCTTACATCCTAGTGGGGGTGACAGATAATAAACAAGTAAATTAAAAAATTAAACTTGGATCCATTAATTAGCAGACTTTGGGATGATCTCTTACCCATTCAATAATTGTACTATCTACATTTTCTAACTTTCTCACAAGGATATCATGAATGACTTTGTCAAATGCTTTGCTGGAATCCAGATACACTATGTCTAACATTCGTCTGCTTTACCCAGTTACTAAGCATTACCCGTTTACATTTATTAAGCTCATTTGAAAAAAGAAAATGAGCTTAGTCTGTCTTGAGATAGTCTGAGGTTTTTATAAATTCTTTGTGATCACTAGTTCCCTTCTCACTACTCTCATCAAACCATCCCTTTCAGTAATTTATTCTAGAAACTTGCCTGATAATTAAAATGAAATCTACCTGTCTAAAGCTTGTGAAATCTTTCTTCCCTTTTTTTTAAAAAAAGAGCATATATTCTTCTCTAGGTTTCCAACATCTCTCTTATTCTCCATGATAAGGTTACAAACAGTAGTTTACTGAACTCATCTGTAGGTTTTCTTGACATCCTGAAATATAATTTGTGTAGGCCAAGAGACTTAAAGTCATTTAAAGCAACTTGGTGCTTTTTTACACTTTTCTTATCATGATATCCAGTTCCCTCTTACCAATGTCTATTTTACCCTTTCCAATCTAATGATCTTTTTCTTTGACCGAGAAGACCAAAACAAATTAAGAATTAAAGAGGTCCTCTTCATCTTTGTTGCCTGGTAAGCACTACAACAGTTTTTCTTGTTATATCCTTCTGTACTATTTCAATTTTTTTACATGTGCTTATATTACTTTTATAATTTAAAAAACTAATTTTAACTAAAACAATGCATACTATATGCCCTAACGTGTAGAATTTAAGGCCTCCTTATTTTCTTCCTGATGCAAGCAAAACTGAAAACGGCCTCTTTTTCTTACTCGTAGAATTAGCTCATTTTAGGTCAGTTCCATGTTA